GCGGCTCTCATGACCGTAATGATTATACCGGGATTCAATGACGAAAAAATCCAAGTATTGGCTTTAGTTTGTAGTATTGATAAACATAAATTGTTACTTCTGTTGTTGTTTGGCCTTTTGTGTTGATCTTGAGCATTAATGCAAATTCTTTCGCTTTGTTTATGTGATCGTTCAAATAATTCTCCACTTGCGTATTCCAGTTCATAAGTCTATTTGCCCATTTGCTTAGTCCAGTAACTCACAAAACAAAACAAAGTTCAATTTCAGTTTCATTTCACTAGTAATTATTTTTTTTTTCACCAACACATGTTTGTTCCACAAACAATATCAGCTCTACAAATATAATGTTCGCGGGTTGTTCCACGTTCAGAAATGAAATGCTTTTCGGGTTATAAATAAAAGTTAGGCCTTTTTTGTTTGTTTTTACTTTGCAATGGTTACTATTTGGTTACAATTCAAATTCGTTTTTAAAACCATGCTGTATGGGACTAAAACAGACCTCAAAGGAATCTTACATGCATATCTTGCTGTTTTGCTTGTACATTGCAATACAAAAAAAAGAATGGTTCTAATGACCAATGACGTTGATTAAACTGAGTGATAGAAACCAACACATGATTGATTGTTTTCTAATGAATTTGAGGTTTTGAGTGTTCCATTATGTGATTCTATTTTTAGTAGCAGTACGGCGACTCATATATTTGGACATCCTCACTTCGCCCGTCAAAACCGACTCTCCAGGGTGCTGGTTACCACTCCTCAACATTATATGAAAGAAAACACTGGCAATGAAATGAAATGTGGGTATGGTAGATAACTGACCATGATACGTACAATCCGTGCGCACGTGTTATGCGCACACAGAAGCATTGACTGCGGGTCACTTGGTATATAATCAGTCCAATGAGAGAGCAACCAACTTATAGAGGTCACCAGCCCCTCGGATACGGCGGTTCGGACAAGTGACACTCACGTCTCGCAAGACGATGGTTGAAATTGACTTCTAGTAGGACACTTACTCTAGTAATTGAAAAGACCGATTCTGGTTTGTAAACTCCGCAGTGACAGGGGGATGAAGAATGGCAGATTTCAATAGCCTAGAGATTTGAAAAGCGAAATCGGGACGCTGACAGCAGCAAAATAAGGAGGGCGAAATCGGCCTATCGAAAAATAGTGTGTCCGTTGGCGTCCGTTGGCAAATGTCAAGGGATGAAGAGGGTCACCTGTTGTCCGATGCTGTCCGTGATTATCTGCTTTTAACAGTGTGCCCCTATAAGAAGGTCCCCGCCCCCTCTCTCCCGATTCTCGATCTTGCGGAGGCTGGATGGCCGGAGGACATCCTGTCAAACTTTGACACGGATGGTCTTTGATTTTATAAGCGAGACGATATTATTATTTTTGTTTTGCAACGGCCAAACAAGAGCCTGGTTACGCGACTGCTGCTCCATCCAGGTGGAAGATGCTGTAGCTCTTGATGCTGGTCTCTCCTTCTGTCAGACCCTCGTGCCAACTACAATACCTGCTCGTTCCTGGTTTTCCTTGCACTCTCTTCTCACTGGAAGGCTCCAGGCTAAACGATCGTCTGCTCTCCTAACCGAGTTGACGATGACAATGTAGGGGAAGGAGCGGGGGGGGGGGGGGGTTGGGGCGGGGGGGGGGCTGCTGGAGGGTGCTGGCTTCTGCGGATCAGTCGAAGGGTAGCACCCTGGAAATGTTTGTTACTACAAGAGACTCAAGGATAAGCCGGCCTGACTTGGCGATTTGAAAGATGCGGCAGGAGGGGGTTTCTCATTTAACGCCAGAGGGTGCACTCATCCTTTTCGTTCCTCTCTTTGTATCATTATTTCACAAATCTAGGGAAATATGTTCTTTTTACTCTTCCGGTTTATCAAAAAAAAAAAAAAAAAGGAAAATACACATACGATGTGGGTGAGGATGCCTCCCTCCTGCCAACTGTATCATCAGAGAACAGGGCGACGCTTTCTATGTTGAAAAACATTTACTATTATACTCTTTTGGCAACAATTTGATTTAGCTGCTGGCCGCTCAAACCTCGATTTCACACTAAACAACCCTTGCAAGGGGACTAGTTTTCCGTAATTTGATTGTTTAAAATAATAATACGACACTATTAACTGTGCCCAAATGTTAAATAACACTATGGACACTATATGCCATCCGAGTTTGAACCCAAAATGGCGTCCATATTGGTAGTTGTCGCAACTTCCCTCTATTTGCGGCTCTGCCCATCTACATCGAACAGCGCCCTCATGTAAGATTATGTCTAGTCTCGTTCACATTGAACAGCGTCGTCATGTATCAGTTTGAACCTTAAAATGGCGTCCATATTGATAGTTGTCGCAACTTCCCGGGGTGCAGACCTGCAAATTGACTTCCATATACCAAATTGGGAATCACGCGTACTTCCCAATATTAAAATAAAAATGCTCACAACTCTCCAAGGTGTTTGAAAGATGATATTTGCGACAACAATCCATCCAAATATTATCACCCCTAAAAGCAGTCCTGAAGCCTATCGCCTTTTTGAAAAAAATGGACGATATACGCTCCATTGAAAATAGAGCCTAATTTCATCAAAATTTCACAGAAGTACAAGATGCAGTCTTCCGCACAGCTTCCACCCTTCTTTGTTACAAATCCTCAAAATGCTCTAATATCGGAGAATTTGAAGGCATGCAAATTGTGATTTGGCCCTTGTAGGCAATTATGTGCCTTTTCATAGATCTGCACCCTTTAATATACAAGATAGGTTGCTAATATACAAGAAGGTTGAATATACAAGGAAGGTTCCAAACGACTTGTTTTTGCAAGATATAGGATCTAGAACATATATTTTATCAAAAACGTGGGAGAAAATAAATGTCAGAGTTCGATATCGGGCCTTAAAACAAAAACCTCTGTATGCGCTTGCCCTGCTGTAGGGCGCCCCCACTGGGCGTTAATTGTGATCGAGCTCCTTCCAACCCCCCGATTACCACCCTCTCCCTTTTTTCTCTAGAAATTGCTGTAATCGGCTGGTGGCCTCTCAGGTTCCTTAAAATTTGGGAGCACTCGTTGCGGAACTGCCCTTGTTGACACCTTTAACATGCGGCTCCCCTCCCCCCCCCAGGTCCCTACCATTTCGGCAACCCAAAAGGATGCTGCCTACAAATCGACTCCCATATACCCCAATGGTAATAACGCGTGTTTCCCAAAATTATTACAAATACTCACAACTCCCCAAGGTGTTTGAGACACCCGTAAAATTTGAGCTCATTTCATCATCTTTCATCTTCCGTTCACTCTTTTTTTTTTAGGGGGGGGGGGGTTAACAAATGACTTTTGGGGAATAAATAGCCTAAAAATGATCACCCCTAAAACTAATCCCGGAGCCCATCGCCATTTTTTAAAATGGGCGTCTACGCTCCATTTCAATTAGAGCCATTTTAAGGCTTACTTTCATCCAATTTTCTCAGAAATGCTAGCTCGCAGTCCTCGGCTCGGCTTCCTCCCTTAATACTGCAGAACTTGAGAGCATACAAACCTTCTTTATTTTTGGCCCGCTTAGGCAGTTCTGGACATTTTTACAGATGTGCACCCACCAGATGGTGTCTAGTCTAGTCAACATTAAACAGCACCGTCATGTATCATATGATGTGTAGGCCTAGTCAGTGGCGTAGCCAGGAATTTTTCAGGGGGGGGGGCGTGATGTAGATCAATGATAATTGTTTTAGAAACTCAAAATATCAGTGGGGGACGACGGGGGGGGGGGGGGGGGCGACCAGGTTTCATGGGGGGACTGTCGCCCCCCCCCCCCCCCCACTGGGCCTAGTGTACATCCATACACTTAGGTTCTTGGACTCTTCAAAACTATCCCTACCATGAATTTGAAAAAGAAAAATAGTACATGAAAAATGGGGAGTTGCGGATTCGAACCAGGGATCTTACGAGCATATAGCCAACCTCACTATCAACTAGTGACAGCTCGACGACAGCTGTCATTTTAAGCTTTCATGTATAGTAACTGGTAGACTGAGTAATAACAATAAGGTGATGTTGTTTTCTTTTCTCATGAATCAACATAACTTTCCCATCGAAATTCCTTATTAAAACAAATGAACTGTGGTTTTTGGAGAGATGTTCCAAAAGAAGGAAGTATTTATCTGCGCGTCTAGTCTCGTCCGCATTGAACAGCACTTCATGTATCAAATGGTGTCGAGTCTCGTCCATATTGAACAGCGGCCTCGTGTATCAGATGGTTTCTAGTTTCGTCTACGTTGAACATACATGTAGTTTCAAGATAACATTCAACCCCTACCCCTCCCCTTTTCCATATTCGATTTTACGGTGGATATTTTTGTTTTCCTCTGCTCATGTTTTAACAGCGCCAGGTATTAACAAATTTAACATCTAACACCTCTATCTGGAGTGCGGCACACACACATTATGCCTAGAACCACATTTCGATTGAGCAGTTAATTGCGGGATGAAGCTTAAGCAAAAGAGTCTTCAAAAAGAAATCGCAAGCGAATCTCACAAAAGAAAATCAAAGTCCTCAGAAAATGACCAGGCAAGCCTCTCACATTCTTGACGAATTGGTGCCAGTGCAGAGCACAAACAGAAGGAAATACGTATGTTTCATACGCACTTTTTAACTGTGCTGCGCGATTCCTAGGGTTATTTGCATGGTTAAAAGAGCCTAAAGAGGGCTGCTGATTTGATACCGCTGAGCGAATCGAAGAATATCTTTGCATTAATTGTGCCATTATTAGACTGCCTGAATTTCAAGATATAATTTCCGTATCAAAATGTTGTTCAAACACTGTAGTTTACAAAAACAAATGATTACAAATAATTTTGTCGAGAACGTTTAAAAACGTGATTTCAGAGCATTTTTTTAACGGATCTCGTTGTTAACATTTAAGACCAGTTTTGTTTTTGACATGAACACAATTTCAGAGGTGTTTCAAACACACATATTTGTGGGAAACAGTGAAGGATAGTGTATCAATTACATTTTAATATTTGTATATGCATTCAAAATCTAAATGGAATACTATGATAACATTGATATGTTCATTTATGAAATTCAAAACAAACATATCAGTAATGACAACTTGTCAAATGTGCCGAGCCATGTTCCGTGTATTTTATCAACAAACCTCATTTGCCGTTGCAAAAACATAAATAACATTGCATCCAGACTTTTTTCTAACTTTGTAACACAGAGTTTGATTGTTTACTCTAGCTCGTTGATATCCTGTTCAGCTATGACAGACAAAAATAAGTGCCATTTTGAGAAACACACACAAATGCAGTTAATAAAGTGGGCTTACAAAAGTTGCCAACCTAGTTCAAGTAAACAAAGTACAAAACAAATGCTGGCATATAAATACGTTTCTCTCTTGACTGAATTAAAGACATATCTCATTATTTTGATATTCTAACACTCATCTGTTACATCGTTTGGTCTCGCCAAAAGTCAACTTTTTATAGCTTTATAACACTTTATAACGTGTTAATAACACGTTGATATATAATTTCATCATCAGTGTCAGGATTGTTTTCGTCCAATTGCCTGACTTCCCTGTTGCCTTGCACTGTTAAAGAGAAAGTGAATTTCTACATTCTTTGGTGAACTGCTGTTTGCTAGCGTCGAAGTGCAGAATTCTGATTTCATTTGATATTTACACTCCGTGGCATGAAAATGCGTGGTTATTTTGTCAACTTTTTAGCGGGTATGGACGCACAGCCTGAAGGTTGGGGTACTCCATATGCGACCTGGGACGCCCTCTAGATCAGGCGTGACGTCATTGGGCGGAATAGTGAAGGTAAACCTCTGCAAGAGGTTGACGAAGAACAAAAATATTTCAGCTCTGGCCATACTCTCCCCGACACACGCCCGTTTACCTGTTGATTAAAAAAAGAACAGAAAAAAGAAGAAGAACCTTTCATAATATTGTCAGGAATATGCTACTTACCATGTCTCTTAACAACGTATAACTGTATTTGGTCGGCTCTGAAGTCTCCGGATTGTTCAGTTTCGGTTACACTATAGTACAATGTTTGCTTTGTAAGCGTATTATAATCACTTTGTTCATGGTACGACACGAATTACCTGATGATCCTAAAACGTTTTATAAAAACTCGCAGGTAAGGTATCCGTCACATTTAAAATGCAATACGACGCTAGAAAAATATTGCCATGGTCGAGTTTAGAGCACAATGCCGGGAATTAAATACATAAACAAAACTGGGCAAAATTATCAAATCCGTGCATCGATTTTATGAAGTGGAATTCGGAGATGAAGGGAAATTCTGTTGAAGTTTCATTTTGGGAAACGTGCAGAATCCTGCTCGTGTACGTAACGTGACATCCGTATCTTTATCAAATCTTTATATCGGTATCAGTATAGAACTGTCATCTTACGCTGTGTTTGTTCACCCCTGATCAGATAAAATCATTAATATGGTAAAATTGCATATAATAATGACGATTGCAATAAAGACCAACAGACAAACAATAAACAGACCAAACGAACAAACAAGCAAACAGTAGTAAGGCGTGGTTTTGGGACCGCCAATTACTCTGAGCTTTGCCATTTACGTTATAAGCCTTTTTGAAAGTAAACAAAAACATTGTTTGAAGTGGAAATCAGTTTTCAGTTTTAAATTGTACTTGTATTCACTTTTACAACATTCCCTGGCAAAATGTTTACTTGGTTTGGAGTCAAGCATGGTCGCAGTCATACTAGTGCTGCTTTGAGAAACAAAAATGTTGTCAATTCAAATGTTGGTACACTTTATTTTGAATTATTTAAAGCAGTTGCGACGATCTCTTTTACCAACCATATTTACCTTATTACACTCATCAAGTTCACATTGTAGTTTGCAAGTATTCTTATGTCAAATTAGCTTTTGCACTGAGCAGATAATTACCTAAGCCAAAATTAAGGAGTGGAAGTCCCTTTCCGGAGTACGTGCGCTGACCGTTCTCGTCGATCGACAGGAACCGCTCGGGCCGCACCGCGTCTGGATCCGGGAACAGCTCGGGATCGTGGTGAATTCCATGGACGTTCAGCAAGAAATAGGAGTTACGAGGGACCGTGTACTGACCGAAGGTGCCTTGCCGGTCCAATGGCGTCTCCCGCTGGTAGATGGGCAGTACCGGCCGGTGCCTCAGCACCTCCGATATAGTCGCACGCGTGTAGGGCATGGAGAGCAAATCGGAGGTCGTGGGCTGTCTGGATCTTCCGATGACGTCATCAATTTCTTCTTGTACCTAAACACGGGTTTACCCCCACAAAAGAAACAATTAAATTCAGGAGCTATCAAAGAGGTTCAATAAGACACCAACACTTTGTGTTTGTTTAACTCTTAATAATCAAACAAATGAACAGTCAAATGTTAATTAAACCTTTGTGTACGCATCAGGTCAAGCTAATCCGCATACGCAAAATAAGACCCTGTTCGTCCTCTGCTTGCAATCATAGCCTGGATTTACTATCTGTCATGAATAAGGCCAATTCAAATTCTTACATTCGCGCAGCAATATTATGTTATTTACGTCCGTTGGGTTCAACTCACTTTCTCCTGTATTTCAGGATGTAGGGTCACGATCAGTATAATCCACAGCAAGCTGAAGGAAGTTGTCTCGGTGCCGGCTAGGAAGAGGTCATGGATAAACCGCCAAATGTTCGACTCGGTAAAGATGGCTTTACCATTCATCGGGCTTTCTTCTTTCCCCTGTCCCCCCTCTTTTTCAATTTCACGTAGGTACATATCGATCAGATCGCGCGGGTTGTTAACGTCGTGGGTCTCCCTGTGGCTGCGGACGTTGCACTCGATGAAGTCCTTCAACCTCCGAAACTTGGACCGCTTGTCATTGTAGAGGAAACTATCAACCAGGAAGGGGAAGACGTTGCCCGGGTCTAGCACAGCCACCTCGCTCACATCTTTCATGAGCCCGAGTATCTCCTGAAAGACGGGGTCCGTGTACTCGAAGCGCCGGCCGAGGCTGATCTGGGCAATGATGTTGGAGACGGCGTTGAGGACTAGAGGGCTTGGATCGAAGGGCTTGCCGGAGTAATCAGCAAAGCTTTGAACCAGGTAGTTGGCCTCTCCGTTGATCTTGGGTTCTAGGCTTCGCTTACCGGCACCAAACAGTCGCATGGCGCTTACACCGAACCGACGACGTTCCTTCCAGGCTGGCCCAATTTCGCTGACTATTCCGCCCTCTGTTGTGTGATAACAATAAAACAATGAACTTTACAGTCAACTAAACATCGGAAGCAGCCGTGTGATGTCGGTTCTCGTTTTAACATGGCTTCACAAAATTATATGGCCATGCAGGTACTTTCGAGTTCATGCTGGTCCAAGACACAGGTATAAGGCCAGTCTAGTGTTATCTATATTGACTGACTGTCACAAGTCACTTGCGAGTTAGACATGGTTACTTATCTCACTGACTGACTGTCACCTGTGACCTACTGGTCTGGGAGCGGCTTAATTACGAGGCTTGCCTACACAGGTATGCCGCATCTATAGCTCAATTAAAAAGTCATGTACTTTCACGACACATGCTTGTATATGAAATAAGTCATGTCTCCATGGGAACGGCAAAATCAGATTTCTCATTTTCTTCACATTACCGCTAGAGCTAATATCTGCGATATTTTTCGCCATTCTGAATCAGTTGAATATAATAAGTTGCGCTCTTGGACCAGGGCCCGATTTCACGAAACGCTACGACGCGTCACAACCCGAGTTACGACGTGTAACACGTTACAACTCGCGACGCGTTGTACGATCCATTTTACCCAACTTGCAATGTGTTGAACGCGTCGTAAGTTCCTTGACAACGGCTTTAAACACGTAGCAAGTAACGGCGTGACTAATGGTCATCGCGAAATAAGAAGCGTCCTTTTCTTAGCCAGTTTTATGCCATAACAATTACATAAACGAGACTATAATACCGAGACAATGTGTGTAAAGTTGCGCGCGCTGTATCAAGAGTTGACGCGCATTTTGGTAACGTTCGCGTATTATGATGTTCTAAAAAGGACACATTTCCGGAGTGATTATTATTTCAAAAACGCCCCAAAAGTGAACTGCGGCATTAAAAACGTAAACCACGTCGTTAGAAAAAGTGTAAACCGTGGTCAGTGGTGGGGGTCAAAATGTGAGTCAAGTGAACCCCGATGTTACACAAGTAATAATGCTGTCTATAAATACGGCAACTTGTCCTTTGTAGATCACCAGCCGGTCTCATCGGTCTCACCAATATGGCGTCAAATTCATTCATTGTGCGGCTCTTTATCCGCTATCAAGTCTTCATATAGAGATCAGTGAATAAATAGCAAGACGCTTCGCAGCTGCAACGTATCGTAGGGATACGATGCGTCGCAGCGCTGCGATGCATCGTAATTTACGATGAGTTTCGTGAAATCGGGTGCTGCTTTTCTCAGCTTTCCTCGGCTGACTATTAGAGGTTCATTCTGGGTGCGAGTACAAAGACAAAACATGCAAATTGTCACGTCAGGGTAGTGTTGATGGTGCTAAAGACGGCTAGAGTTGAACATATTTCAGAACTCCGGTTTGGTTTGGAGGAGTCAGTTTGGAGCAGTGGTTAATTTCCTCGCATTCCACCGCTGTAGCTCAGGTTCGATTCTTGCCCTGGTCCACATTTGTGTTGGTTTTATTCCCTAATTGATTCCTTGGTTTGTTCACATAGTATTTTTTTGTTCTGGGTTTCCTCCTACTTCTAAAACTGTAATTTCTTCGCATTGTCTTCTTCTTACACTGGCTTCGAACTACATTGCCTAAGGCGCTTTATAAGCATCCTTAGTTTTATAACCAGAAATATATAAATAAAAATAAAAGATGAAAAATATTAACCCGAGAATTGTATTCTTCGTCCAATTTGTTTCGCATTTGCATTATGAACAAACTGATCATCGTCTGAATTAAACGTTGTATTTTTTTCATCTCAAAAAGGGTATTCATTTATTGGGCTTGCAGTTTTCGGTCTATTTTTATCCAGCGGAGAGGTAGGACAAGTTTCTTTTAAATGAGGGCCAGAACGGTCCGTAAATGAAAAAAAAAGGCCAACAAATCATTAGTTCACTGTGTAATAATATTTTGGTCTCCTTTTTTACTCACCAGTTTCAAAGAGTTTGGCGAGAACACCGATATTCCTTCTGTTGGGAAAGCTTTCGTGGTTTCTGAGCAATGCTTCCTTACACAGCTCCACGTCCGTCGCGACGGTAACAAAGAGGTGTCCGATCCAGATACTACAGTCAAGAAGGAACCAATGAAGATATATATATTTAAAAAAAGATAGAGGGAAATACATTGCTCTTTAACGATGACTTTAATGAAGGATTTACTTTGAAAGCCAAATTTAGACTGAATTGTTTAAGGTGCTGTATTCACGTTAAGTTTTTACTTTTGTCTTACAAAGCATTTTTATGAGGTAGACATAGAACTTTGTTAGCAGTTAATAGTTTTTGAAAATCAAAGTTAAAGGTCATCGGAAGAACACGATTTCTGTTTTCCCCCTTTTTGGGGGGGGGGGGGAGGGGAGGGGCGATTCTTCCCGAAATGTTTAATACTTTATTAAACTCAGCTGATTGCAATACAAAGTGCACAATCAAGCGCAAATGTCCTTAAAAAAAACCCCGGAGAATACTTTCTTTTTTTCAAAATTTCGTTAAGATTATAGGGTAGCGATCTTACGTGTGAAAACAATTGTTCTCTGCACACGAATTATTGAACAAACGGGTTTTTTTTTGGGGGGGGGGCGGGGTGGGGGTGGAAAGAAGACTTACTCCAATACATGTATCAACTACAGTTAGTCCACTAAATAGCATTTGTTTCTAAATGTTAGGGAACAAACGTAATACATGGTATAATCTTGCGTGAATATTTGAAAATAACTAGAGGTTATTCTTCTTTTGCCCTTCGCCGACGTGGTGTTTTTTTGGTTTAACGCTATATATTCAGTATTGTCCTAGGGTTTCCGAGAAAAACAAAATAGCCAACGAACAAACGACCTCTTGCTTACTCACACAGACGTCAGTTACCACACGACCAACCGGCCAGCTTGCTGACAGGGGTGCCAGGCAGGTTCGAGTCTCACGTAGCAGCGGGTATCGCAACCACACTACATGTATTTACAAAATGGAATTTGCGTCGGAAAGATGTAACTTTCATATTGGGTTATGCCCTTCTCCTACGTATTTGTCTAAACGTCTTATACTCAATGTGTTTAAAGGGCTTGTGAAAAAAAAAGAATTCACATGCTTACTCGGTTGGGACTCCAACCTCCGACTTCCAAGCTTCACATTTTCCCTCATATTTATTTTTTGTATATGTACAACCTGTTTCTTATCGTGGGTACTTTTTTAAACAGTCACTTTTAATGTCGCCGGAAACCGCCTTTTATTGAACTTCCGAACTCTTTAATCTTGATTCTTTATATTTTAGCATCATAATGCATATGTCCTTGTGTTCCCAGAGTTTTATTGGAAATTATTAGGAAATATTTTGACTAGAAAAGAACGGTCTGCTTTGTGTCCTGAGGATTGTACATAGTCGAGTGAGTAGACGTCCATGGAAATAATTATATCCCTGATATTGCTACTGTGATTCTAATAACAGTAAGGATTAAAACCTTAATATTTAATTGCAAACATTGACGGTTCTATAAAAAGCAGATCTAAGGCATCGTAAAATGATATCATCAGTTTAAATGGGATACAGTGATATACTAAGACAGAAGGTACACTACCGACAAAAATAGATGTTTATGTTAGCTCGGAAGAGATAGCATTAGATAAGATAAAGTAAGAACATACATGTAGAGTCGGATGACGTGATTTAAATGTCACAGGGATGTCAGTGAGTCCTAGAAATGAAACCATTATGGTAAAGGAAAGCTGGTCTGATTTCTCAACACAAAAAATGCCGTTGTATATCTTGAATTTCAACCCCTATATTGGCACTTCTCATTTAGCGAGATCACCATCATCATCATAATCTAGCGGTCGCAACCGAGATCTCGTTCACAACGCCACGCCAGGTGTCTTTATCCCTCATTATGTACGGAAGGTCTTCAATTTCACATTGAGTGTCTCTGCCAATCACACCAATGTAGTTGAAAGGTCTTCGTCCTCTATTAGGGCGAGGTAGTATACGTGTTAATCACCGCATTATTAACGAACATCGTTAAATTGTTCTAATAGTGTAACCGCGGGGCGCGGGCACTATAATGAGCTTTACTGTTCAGAAGGCATATTAACTAAAGTATCTCAATTGCATACATTGATACATTGTTTGTCCATAAGCCAAGCCTAAGTCAACATGGACGATATCGCCAGTTCAAACCGGAATGCAGTACACGCGCGACGAAGGCAAACATAACTGAATGTGATGACAAAAGATTAACGTAATATACAAGAGTAAAGTCTGGCGACGTGATTTTGATGGCGAACGGTTTTTAATATACTTTTATTACAGTAATGTAGTATCTAAATAGTGGGTGCATCACGTAGAAAAGATCCTACACAATTTCAGCCACTTTACAATGTGAATGCATTGTTCAGGTTTTTATATGCTCAAAACATTGAAACTGTAGGAAGAGGAAAAGGGCTTTGTTGAAATTTCTTACCTGATGATTCTCAATAAACCACATTGAAATCATTTGAAATTGCTCAGGTAAAACTATAACCTTTAATAATTCTTTTTTCAACTAAGTATGGTGAGTTTTAGTTTTTCCTCAGGGTCTACCAGTAAGACAATATGTGATCGATCAAGAATAGGTTGGTTCGTCCATATGCAGTGGCCTATCAATTAAGTCCGAAATTAAAAGGGCCCGTATTGGAAGGCATCTTTTTTTTGGGAAAGGGGCACTCAGTGCGTTTGGTCTTTGTACAAATATGCACAAGCTACAATAAAACGGCTACGTGCCTTCGGTGGGGATGGTTCGTACTAGGGTGCACACCTATGTTCCCCAGCCCTGACACTAACCCTAACCCTAACACTAACCCCAACTCTAATCCTAAGGATTTTGGGTAACTTAGGTATTTGGGAACATCGGGTAGACCCCTGGTTGGTACACCCAACCCAACGCAAAGCCGATACACCACAGATAGTATTGCGGTTGCCAATACAGTGAGATGTCACTGCTGATATTGGGTGTGGTTTGGTTTATTACCATATGACAGCTACAAAAAGATAACACACAATGAAACTCAGATGATTTAACAATATATTTGCATTACAATGGGTGAATGGACACGACAATATCATACTTGACAATCAAGTCTAGCCCTGTACACACTGCTCAGGGGTGGATTCATGATTTTTGTGGGAGGGGGGGGGGGGGTCATGAGCAAAAAAGTCTGAAATGTAGACGGGTTTTTTTTGTCTCCGGAAACTTGGCCTCCTAAAATCCTAAGGGGGGGGGGGGGGGGGGGCTCGTACCTTTCTTTCAATAGGGGTGCTGTTAAAATCCGACGATTATTAATAATATATTAAAGAATAGTGTACACATACCCCCTAACCAAGCTGGGTCTGTCCGTATTCTATGCACAGGTGGACATAATTACCTGTGTATTTTTTTTGCGGGGGGGGGGGGGCAGAGCAGTGGTGGTGGGGGGGGGGGTTTTCACATTATTTTAAAGAAATTTTTATCAAACAAAAATAACATTGACAGCCCCCCCCCCCCTCAGAAACACTTCAAAGACTCGTTTTACTTTGGTTAAATGAACAAATAAACCTGCTGCAGTTAAAGATCAACTTGTCTTTAACGGTAGTGTTATAAAGAAGGAAAATTCTGTTTCTTGTGTGGGATTGATTCTACCATAATTGGAGTAAGTACATTGATTGTGTTCACGCCACTTTGAGAAAAAAAAGATCGGATTTAGATTAAGGCATTTTGTCCTGCAGCACATTGATTTTCCTTTATAACACTTGTATTTAACACCATGTTACGTATGATCTTGAAGTACTCAGTGGTAAATTATTTAAATTGTACCCTTGTTAAACAAAACAAAAACTGCTGTCCGAGCAAATACTTTTAGTCAATACAATGAACACTTTAGTCTGGTCCCTGTCCGTATTGTCCTTCGGACATATATGGGAACAAAATGGCAATAGGCCATGAATGTGCAAATTCGGAGCTTTTGCTGAATTCGAAAGTGTCCCTGGCAATCATCAATAAAAAGAGGGACATAACTGTTCAGTATTAAAAACCTATGCAGTTTAAATGCTTGAAATGGCTTTCATTGAGACAATGGCGGTTTTGCGTACTTTTTGTGGTAAGACAAATGTCAAGTTTTTTTTTATAATCATGTGCTCAAGTATCGTCCTTGCGCAAGCTGAATAGTGATCCAAATTAAACAATCATGCTGCGTGCGCCCAGAGGTGGTTCAATCAATGGCTTTAATGGGAGCTACAATCCCGGCCAAAATGGTTGGGACTCTTGGAAATAACCTTAGCCTCCAACGGTCACCAACTCCCCCGCTCCCCCGGTCAATGTTGTTCTCTCCAGCGGATGGAGCACACACCGTGCAATGAGAGACAACATTGAGCGGGGCTGGGGGGTTGGGGGCCCAGCGAGATTTGGCTAGGATTGTAGCTACCAGTCCCCTTGTTTTAAGGGGGAACAGTCTATGAGCATTACACGCCATAATTCAGCAAATTTCACAATCTTGGCATCATGAAAATTTAATATAAACGTTCATTTAGTGTACTTATACATGACTTGACTAAAAATTAACATGCCTCACTGGCAGACTACTGAAATCTACTAGAGCATAACTACGTAACTAGGCAGAGAAAATGAGAGGCAATTTATTTGTACCAAGGGTAACACAACATTTGGTATTTGTTTTTCCTAACACTGGGAATATTATGGGTTACCAACCTGTATAAGAAACAAACCTTCTAGAGCACATTTTAAATCTGCTTTATTCAATATGTATTCTTTATCTTGTTTAGAAATCATATCATATCAATATCTTCCGCTCAATGTGGCTCATACTGAGCTGATGTATTTGCACGAATTAATATTTTGTTCTTTTGTCATAAAAAACCACTGCCAGGGATATTTGTATCTGCGTGGAAACATTGTTATTATCTTAGAAGGAGTTTTCTTGAGGAACTCCGTGGAACTTTACGTGGGCATGTTGGGAAGTCAATCTTAAGATTAAGTATTGTTCGATCGTTTTTGTGTGAAGTTTTTGTTTCTGTGATTTCTTCAAAACGACAGCTTGCCAAAACGAATAAATTCACAGGGAGTTTAGTCCCCGTGTCTGGGACACTAAATTCAGGCCCAATTCAAAACATGATTCAGCAACTTTTAATTTGAAATTTCTCGGAATATACAGCTGAAGCTGAGTTGAAACTTCATCAGGTTAGTTGTTCAGAACCCTTCTTTAGATCTTGAGCACTTTTGTTGCTTCAAACGAACAAAATGCAGAAATTACAAATGATGGACTATACCTTTAAGGTGACAACTAACAGATCAACCTCAGTTTGGTTTTTGGGAAAAGTGTGAAATAAAGTTAATTAATCTGCTAACAGTTATAAGGTTTGAAAGGGAAATATCATTAATTAACACAAGAACCAAGAGTTCGCTTTAACCCTAAAGGGGCCGAGGGGGGGGGGGGGGGGGCGGAATCCGCCATTTTCAACATTTTCCGTGATAGCCTCTAAAAAAAATGTTCGCGAACCGAGCTGTTATGACCTTTTAGCCTCGAGCTTTGCGCATCTTTTGATACCAAAAACATAAAAATCGGACCACGGGTTGCCGCGAAGCGAAAATTTTTCCGGCGCTTCTCAATTTTCGCATATACGTCGTGTACACAGAGCAGAATTGCCATTCCTACATATGAATAATTAATTAGCCATAATTCCAAAACCCTTTGACCTATAGTCATGAAATTTCTTGGGTATGTTTAGGAAGAGTTGCTCTATGCATTTGCTGAGTTTCAAAATTGTTCGTCACTCGATGGCCGAGATCTTGTGGGGGGGGGGGGGCAGAATCCGCCCCCCGGTGAGGGATGGTCAAAATAACCCGGCCCCTTTAGGGTTAATAGAAATCTTCATGTATGTGTATTACCATGAGTAATTAATTGAAGAGGTGAAGAGGTGATACATAATAACAAATAGACCGTATCTACTATAAACAAATATTAAATGTATTAAATGTACATACCAAAATGTCTTTGAAGTCACTCACTGACTTTCTGACGATTAAGGTGACAAAATCAACCTCATTTTGGTTTTCGGGAAAAGTGTGATATCAAGTTTAATAATCTGCTAACAGCCATTAGGGGTGAAAGGGAAATATTTAATAGAGATCTACATGTGCATGTATGTGGAATACCATGAGTAATTAATTGAAGAGGAGAAAAGGTGATTCATAATGACAAATAGACCTTACCTACTATAATAAAATATTAAGTATTGACCTACCCGTATACTGGGCCGTATTTCTTGGCAATGTCAGAAAAGAAAAGATGAGACGCAGTTCGCTTGGTCAGCACGGCCTTGAGTAATAGCCAATGAGACATGAAGAACGAAGGGGCTGGTGGGAGGTCTCGAGCCCAGGCCCGCCAGCGTAGGTACAGCCAAGACGCGGCGAACAGACTGAGCGCGTACAGAAGCGCTGAACAGAGAACAGTGACATCATCTCCTATGTTGGCGATCAGATTGTGAACGACAGCCATCCCGTCACGGCGTCTGTTCCGTATGACTGTTCTTTAAGTTTTAGAAGTGTATTCGGGATGTAAGCTAGACAAGGAATGCGCATTGCCCGTCTTCATGCAGGTTCTTATAGCTGCACGTAAATCACATGGTGGCCAAAGTTCGGCTTGTTGCATCATATTACGTAAACGGACCTAAACAAGCACACAAGATAGTAAACGGATGTCGTATGGAATGAAATGATGTTCTCGGTAGCACTGCCGGATAAATGAGGCTACGGGATGTCCGGAATATGTAGGCATCAGTGCCACCGATGCGATACTGATCTCCGTAATCTTCCGACTGGCCGAAGGAGAATGGAAGACATTGTTCGGCTGGTGTGGATGTTAACGCCTGAAAATAACACGTCATCGTTCGTTGTCATTGTTGACAATGAGTCGAAGTTGGTGATCCATTGTGTTTTCAGATGTTCGTTTTATAGTGTGTAATGTGTTCAAATTGGCAACCGGACACAAAACGCACCTATAATGGGTGACGGATTTATAACTTTATCCCTCCTTCTAACTGATTGCTTTCCAGTGCAGGTTTGATACGAAATAATGTCTTGCTCGGACGACTTTCGAGGCATCACATTTATAAGAATATAAACTTAGAAAATCACATGCGTCTTAAGGGATTTCCCCGGAATTTGGGACGATAGAGAAAACCTGTTCGTCACACGTTGCACACGTGCTCGTCCCTATGCAACTGCTATACAAACTAACAGCTAATAAACGCGCAGCCTCGGTATTTAATTGGTGCAATAAAATCGCACTGTATCCGTAAGAAATGTTTGAGTAACACTGCACTTTCCGAGAATATTTTGAGAGTGGCAAGTCGAAAAGACAAATAAAGGTCGGGAGCAGGGGCAATTCCATGAAGGGGGTCATTTGAAGAAGGAAGAATCCTCAAATACAATAATAATATAAAGGGGGAAACAGAAACGATATAGAGGTCGTCGATCTTTTTCATATACTCTATCACATCTCATTTTTCTGCGAAGCTTCCATGATGCTGAATCGCTTATTTTGCATTATTTTGCGTTCAATAATGAAGGGACATGTTGAAATAATTGTTTCTGTAAAGGATGAACCACCCTGCTGCCTGTTTACATGACGTAAGGCCTATAGTAATTCTAGGGCCTATAGCAACATAGTTAGAGAGAAGATATGGTTTTGATAAATGTATATGTTTTTGTCCAGACTATTTGAATGGTTGCTGTTATTATATTAAACAAAATTAGTGCCATAATAAAATCAGGAATCAAGATTTCATCCGTCGAAGCTTGCACCCCAATTGATGCCAGGCTCAATGCCTATCTGTTTAAAGATTATTCATAAATACCAAAGGCAGTTTACCCATTCCTATTGGTCAAGATCCCGTCACGTGGCCGGTCCTAAACGGTTGACAAAGACTGGCCGGCTGGTCGTAAATACTTTTTTTCAGTGTCACATGAATTTGGACTCCAGTGAAATCCGGTGCCTTTGACTATTCTATTGGCTGAACGTTCACAATCCTTACGTAAGCATGCTAAAAATAGTCCTTAATTTATTCACCGGCACAGCTGCGATGTGCTCATCGTGCTTTCCGCGCGACGCGCACGCCAATCTCCATATAAGGATATTCACGACACTCGCGAGACCAGTCATACCATATTATAGCTAGAGGGTAGTCCCCGAAAAACATGAGCTTTTGGACCGAAAGGTTTTGATTATTTGACCGAAAAGGTATTGATGAATGGGAATAAATATGTACTTGGCCGGTATAAAACACTTTTTCAAGACCGCTTAGAGTCTGGATGCTGAACATGACCCTCGCCTTTGGCTTGGGTAATTATCAACATCCAGACTCCAACCGGTCTGAAACAGAGTGTTTAAAACTAGCCAATCACACATTCATTCCCTTAGTAAAAGACTACCCGACTTGTGATAAAAAGTTCAAGTCATGTTTCAGAAGAGGCTTTATTTTTGAGCGAGTGAGGGGGCTATAACGACACCATTTACTGGGTACAAGCACAATAAATACCCCGTTCATTTCAGAAGCTAAGCACCCTTACCTACATCTAACACTTAAAGATTGTACAACATATAAGTGTTTAATTTAAGCTGCATGTAAACTTACGTCAATAACATTGGAAACGCGTCCAATTATGACCCCCAAATGGCATCGTGACAACGCCCTCATTCGCTTATTATGAAAAATCCACCCACGACGGTTGGTTTACTAAAAATATCACCATATTTCACACTTTCCCGTATTTTTTTTTATATGCGTAGTTTAATAGTGTTATTTTGACACTTTCATCAGTAGAAACATCCAGGTGGATTGCAAGATGTTCTCATTGCCAATATATAATAGAACAATTTTATATTTCTCAAAATACTTAAAATGTGGACATTGGGAAAAAATCCAAATGCCTGTAATTCAAGAGCTCTGCCTTGGCTTATATATCTATTTGAGTGTCTCCGTTTCTTCCTGTTACTGTCCTCCGCTAAAAGTGGCAGGTTGGTATTTTTAACATTATTGTGCCAGGTAAATGCAGAAATGCCTAACGAGTAAATGTTTTACACATGCTGGTATGTGTTTCGCTATTTTAGGGATTCTATTTAAACTACAATTTGGATATCCTTGTAGAAGCTAATCGGTGTTTAATACAGAAACATTATCGTGGGTAAATAGACATTCATACTATTTAAAGCAGCCTGTATCTTTCTTATCTCCCATAGCTCCCAAAGCGTTCATTCTAGCAGCCCAAATATAGCTGGATGGTTAAATAGGAATTCTCTCATCGGCCGGACGCCAAATCCGTCTAAAAACGGAATTTGTCAGCAAATCGTAAAGTAGAAGCAAATATGGTTTATACACGTCCAAAAAGGTTCCCACGAAGGGATGCTTTTACCCAAACCAACTTTTTCTGAAGAAGGAAATTTTTTTGCAGAAATCCCTGCAAAAAGAAATCGCAACCAAATGTTCAGACTGTTTTGTGTAAAACAAGACTAACACCAACTTGTCACTCTGTACGAGAGAGAAAAGAATACGAGAGTACTATGAGTCTGCAACTTCCCTGTGATTCCTGCACACGTCCTAAATTCTTGACCGTTGTATTGATTGGTCGGCCTGCCGATTCGAATTTGACGAATGTTTTGCTTTCCTTATATACTAATATATTATGATGTAGCGCCTTGAGCACCATTCCTGGTGGATATGTGTGCTTTATAAATACCCATTATTATTATAAACAAAAGTAACAATATTATTGTAATTGTGTCAGTGCTGGGAATAATGGGTTCTTGAACATGCTTCCGTATACACAGGATTCGCTTGTCAATTGTTGTTGTTGTTTTTTCTTTTTATATTTTATCTCTTTTAAATTATTGGTTCTCATTTCGGATCAACCCTATTTTAGGTTCCCTATACCAAAGACAAAGATTACTACCCTGTCTGGATTCCCAAGCACACACAATACATCAATGGGAAAAAAATAAGATACCAATCAGGCTCAGTGTTAATTGAAAACAAAATTGATTGGAAAATAGTTACGCGAAGTGTGGTGTATAGTATTACCACTGCAATTCTAGACAATGTTGCTTTAAGCAATACCTGGGCATAGAGTTTACCTTTAATGTTATATCACAGCTGCTGCAAATACAGCCAGCATAATAGTACTGACGCAGAGTTATAAGTAAGTCAATCTACATCTTGCCAAAGATTGCTTATTATTTTGTTCAGTGATATCAGCTCATGATAATTTCGTTGCAATAAAAAAAAAAAGACGACATGCTCTTATTTTAGCCATCTTAACGGGTGAGACTATGTTTTGTACCACCAGATTTGTTTGTCATCTGACAGATCGCTTCTATAATACAGAGGCCAAAACAAATGAGAACACCGTAAACACATTTTCTTTTTACACATTATAAAGTAGTTTACGAACATATTAACCCGTTTAAGCAGAGAGACGCAGTAAAAAAGACCTATGCTCAATTTGGAATCTGATTTATGATGAAGGTATACATGTACTAAAAGCAACGCCTCATGTTTTGAAGCAACTTGTAATGACTGAAATTCGACTTTTCAGAAAAATTGTATAGAGATATTTCCACAAAGTCAGTACGTTATTAAATAATGCTCAATTACTCTGTCATTTTTTTGTCAAAACATTTCATACTCCACAAGTTCCCTGTTGAGACATAGCTTAACAGCATCGTGAGTGCCCCTTAACCCTGGTTAAACTTTTGACCCAGAATTACTAAGGCAAATATCAGAGCCAGGCCAACTTTCATAGGATTTGCATTGCCAAGATCCAGTCCCAAGGCTTGTGATGTATACTGTTGTTACCACAAGGTCAGCAATCATCCTGTCGATCATTGGGCCCAGTCTTAAAGCCTGGAAATAGGCGGTCCTCGTCCTTTTTTTTTAGGATGAGGACCTCAGGCTGTTGTGGCGGGCGGAGGGTGGCCAGGCAAAAACCAGGGAGATAAAACTCGAACTGTTTTCGCAAGGCTGCTGAACAAATACAGAGTAATAAACCTTCTGTCCTTATTTTGTCACGTACTTTGTTTTATTAATCCTATTTCGTATTCAATGCATGCATAAGAGTTGATAGTATGAACACCGGGACATAAACCTTGAACATCCTAAATTCTTAAAAGAAATCCCTAAATATTTTATTTATAAATGATCGTGTCGCAAATTTATTGTAGACGCTGAAAGCTTATTCGGTGGCAAGTAATCGCTGAGACCTACCATATGTGGGGATGGAATAGTTTACCAAACGGTCCTAATCTTTATGCCAGATCGTATAATTAGCTGTGCTAAAACTCCTCATTTACAGCTACCGATCTGTCTTTCCTTGTTTTCAAAGATACAATTTATTTTGGATAACCTTGTGGAAGCTATTTGGTGTTTAATATAGAAACAGTATCGAGATATTCATACTATTTAAAGAAACTAGTATCAATTCGTATCTTCCAAGCTGAGTTTACAAACCCTTTAATCAAACAGCCTGAACAGTAGCTGATTACAAAGAATTTCATTATCAATCTGATGATAAATCCTGTGTGCACACGACGTATATGGGGAAATTCAGTTACACGACGCGTAGCGCCGGAAAAGTTTTCGCTACGCGGCAACCCCTGCTCCAGTGTTTATGTTTTTGGTATCAAAAGATGCGAAAGGCTCTAGGCCAAAACGTCATAACAGCTCGGGTCGCGAAAAAAAACATGTTTTTACGGCTATTGCGGAAAAAGTTGAGGGGGCGGAATCCGCCCCTCCGGCCCTTTAGGGTTAACCCATAACCAAAGATGGTAGAATCGCGTCAGCGCAGCTGTTGAACTATTGTCTAATTACATGATATACATGTATGGACACGGAACGCGCTAAATCTGAGACAAACAAAACTTTTTGTACACTAACTGTATAGGGTTATCTAAGGGGTGTGGCTAACTCGCAAACGGCGATAGATCATTTAGTGTCGTTATAAGTGTCATTTTTAGGATCAAATGATATTTGCAGATTGAGCGCTATAACAAGGGATTGATGAGTGTGTGGCAAAGATTGCCATTACGTACATGTCTGGTTGTCAGTTAGAGAGCTGCCGTACCGCTTTCTTTGATAAATTAAATAAAGGTCCGGATATTAGTCTCTTTCACCATTAATCACAGTCTATAAATCTCCGTATCTTTCATATCGGGTAATTTAGGGGAAGACGAGGTGGTCGTTTCGATTAACTTTCATTGCATCGAAGTTGCCCATTTTATAAGGCTGACAATGTTCCGACGTAAAGCATAACAAATAGGGAAATGGTCCAAGCTTGCTTGCCTACTCAACAGCTTTCCAACAACGTATACGTGTAGTTTGTCTAAAACTTACCATATTAAGGTTCTTTTTGACTGTAATATAGCGAGCCAGTATGGCTGAGCGCTGACAGGCCTTTCAATGAGAACGGATCCTAGTTTGAGGAAAACAAGTATCAGCTAACCAGTTGCACAAAGTTGTCACACGTTGAAAAGAAGCTACTTGCCTAATAGTCTAGGCGATATTTCAAAAAAGAGCTCATTTCTTAGTAGAAGTTGGTAACATAGATATTTTTTACCTAATTCGGGGGGGGGGGGGGCTGCAGAATCCGAAAATGATGGTAACCAAGCTGGATTTTAAAATTTTCAAATTCTCAAAGCTACTTACTAGCACAGTTACCCTGACACAAATAAATGGTATATCATGTCAAAAATGATAACATCTTGATATTTAGGCCAAAAAGGTGGGAAAAACAGTGGGAAAAATGAGGTGTCCGTAAATTGGGCTCACAATTAGGCGAAGGGTTGCCTAACGTCAAGGGCGGATCCAGGGGGGGGGGGCAAAGGGGCCATGCCCCCCCTCCAAACGAAACCATTTTTTGTTTTTTTTATGTGACATCGCAAAAAAAGGCAGGCAATGAGTACACCACCATCTTTTCCTCAAAAAAACATTGGTTAAAGTGGTCAGAAATTGCCTCGGATCGCACCACAGAGCATCTACAATAAAAAACATTTTCGGGGCCCTTAAGCGGGCCCCGAACCCCACGCCGTAATTTTTTTGACCTACTTTTTTGGGGGACCAAAATTTTTTTTGGGCCCCCCCCCAAAATTGTATTTTGGATCCGCCCTTTCCTAACGTAGGTGACTTGAACAACTTCAAGGAAATCCCCCAAAATAAAATATTATTTTTGTCTGCAATAATTATGTCAGCGTCAAAACGTTTTCTTACCAATAATCTTTGTGAAATTCCTGGAATTTCTTTAAGTCTCCCACGTTAGGCAACCCTTCAACTAATGTTTAGACCAATTTACGGACACCCCGTTTTTCCCCAGTTTTATATCACAATGTTATCTTTGTTCATATGATTTTCCCTTAAGATTTTTAATAGGGTAATCGTACCAGTAAGCAACAAGGTGAATTTAGAGTTCATCGACACTAAGGTTTGGCAAGACTACTTGATGATATCTGGAGACAAGATAACTTTTGGGTGTCACAGTAGCCACTTTGGATTGTTACTATGTCCTCATAACCATTCATTCAAATATATGCTTTAAGTAGAATCACCAAAATAAACGTTTCAAAAAAAATATGTATATATCAAAATGTGAGAACATAGATATTACACGACGGGTATTAAAGATTTTTGCAAATTAGGCATATTTTCACTGAAAAACCAGTTTTGGTATCCATCATTTTCGGATTCAGCACCCCTGAATTAGGTAAAATAGCTATGTTACCAACTTATACTCGAAAATGCCTCTTCATGTAACATTTTCTTTTAAATATCACCTAGTCTATAACACCTACCTAACCTTTGTCAATAAATTGCATACAATGCAAAAGACAACACTTAGGATAATTCATAACTCCAGATTTTTTTGACTTGTATACATACCTGTACATTCATGTATACAATTTGAAACTTACGATCTACACAAAATACACATTCGCTATTAAATAAACCCTTGGATATTCATTGTTATAATACGAAAACCTTCGTCTCCATAAAGCTAGAACATTTCTTAACTAATCAAATGTAAGAAACCAAGGATCTTTATTGTGGAACCACCTTAACCAATGCCTATCTTTAGATAACAAAAACTACCTAAAAACGTTGCTGTTGACAAATTATAATAATTACGTATCCAAATAATACTCAATGTCATGTCATCTAACGGCTATTGAAAAAGTATCATTGTTTGATAATTCTTTTGCTCCTTTCCCTCTTCCTTCCTTGCCGTTATAATTGTAATTAATTTATTTCCATCCTGTCATTTATTGATATAAAAAAAGTATATTGTATGTATATTCATACGAATGTGAATATTTTGCTGTTAATTGTATTCTTTTCAATTTAATTAGTATACATGTATTCACTTGATATATTTCAGCCTAGTGTATGTACATATTAATTTACTAGCTTCATTGTAATTACAGGTTCCTGCATGTCTCGTAAAAGAAAACGCTTTTTACCTGGAACCCCCGTATCATTTATGTCATTCCTTATATAGATGTTTGTGTTTATGTTATAATTATGTTTTTGTGATATATTATGAAAATAACATATACCATAAACCATTAACCATTTGTTTGATCCATGAGCAAGCATAAATTATAAATTTCATAAATTACACACTATGATAATAAGGAACAGTAAGAGACCGAGTACAGAACCAATTGGAAACACAGACAATTGAGTTATATTACGATGTTGATCATTCTGTGCCGACATACATCCATCTTTAAGCTAACTTCTAAATCAACCCAAGGTTTTATGCATCGAAGACATTCTCCATTTCCCAAGAATATAATTGATATCACAAAGCTCACCGGGCAGTCACGTCCAGGTAATAATTTTGCTGTTTTCAATATCATTAATATTCGCATATAAAAAAATCCTATTATTTACCATTTATCATTGTAACCATATAGTTTCAGTTTGATAACAAGTGATCGCTTTGTTTCTTATAAACTCCAACTGTCTTACCAACTGTATATGTTACCCACAACCATGCCCCACCTAGGGGGAACTCATCATGTTTTCAAGTGGCTGAATACTCAGTGTGACGCCAGGACTACTGAGGTTTTGTTACAGTTGACTCTGCTAGCCAAACCGCAAGGCAGCGGGAAAATGACAATCCCCAAACCACTCTTAAGGAATACCACAGAAGTAAGTGCTGCACGCCATCATGACCAGGTGAATTAGCCTATCGACCAAGCCTGCCTATTCCGCTGATACAGACTTTATGTACTAGAGGGGAGAGGTCCCTCACCTGCAGGAATCCACCATACAGGTTCACTCATGTAGCATGTAGTTTAGCTGACCAGCCGAGATCAGGATACCGGGGTGTGGCCACTGCCGTACACAAGCAGTTCCGTGGAGCCATACATGAGGCAGGGTGAACTGTTGGAATCTTGAGTGGTTAGAGCCCCCATAAACTTGGGGCGGCTGCCCGTCGCCAAAGGTACTATCCATCCAGAACACCCCAACACCCTAACAGCTAGTCTCCTCTGTTCTCCTCTGGAATCCTGAAGCCCCTCGACGAAAAGGTCGTCCCAACATGACCCTGAAAACATCCATCGAGCTAGAAACTGGTCTGAGTGGTCCATCTCTTTCCATCACCATGCTCGACAGGGACAGTTGGGCCCAACTCATCAAGTCATCATGAAAATGAATGAATGAATGAACAAGATGCCCCACCTACTACCGAATACCCACACTTGAAACGTAATGCCGATATGTCACTTTCGGCTTTGTTCGACAACTAACAATATCAAAGCAACGATTGCAAATATCTGAAGACCTCCCAGCAGCATGAACGGTAAGGTGTAGCTTCCTCCAAGGTCAAAGGTCAATCCTAGCCAAAAGAAGACAAGAACACAATTAAACGAAAGATGTGCAACTGAATCAGCACCTAAGAGGTTACATGTTGGATAACACTATTGACAAGACTTTGTGGCATTCATGAATGTTATTAATTTGACGTAACTTTTGAACTATAGGCATCATAGTAAGACAAATAAACACGTTTTCCTGGGTAATTTGGGCGTGAGGAATCAATTGAAAGCATTGAGTATAATAATTTGGTGGCCATCTTGGCGGCCATCTTGGATTTCGACGAAAATCAGTTATTTGACATACACACATACACACACACACCTATTCTCAAATTTGTATCCTTGTGGAGACATTTCTTTGTTCTCATGTAGTAAAGTGTTCAATTTTGAAAGTGAAGTTTCAAAATGCTCTTATTTTAACCAGAATTAGTTTCCTTGGCTGAAATTTGGAATTAATATCCCTTTTCTAAAACTCTTCCTTTTTCGACAGATCAACCCACCTTGGAAATTCGTAGTTTTCGAGTAAAACCCATATATCTATTTCGTGAAAACCTTGTGGAGACCTATTCATCTATAGAAATTGCCCTGTGGAGACCTTTACAATGTTTTGTTCCCTATTGTGTGTGTGTGTCTCCGCAAGGATACGAATTTGTGGTCACACGTACACCCACCCACACACACACACGTGAACACGTTTTAGGGGTAATTTGGGTATGGCGGATCGATGTAATGTATTTAATGATAGAAACAAGTTAAATACCTTAAAACTTATAATTTTCACCCTGAATCTTGCAAAACACTAATCAACATGTATTACAAACTCTAATATTCGAGGGATTAAAGGGTTAGGATGTGCAGGGGTGGAATGACGGATTGAGCTGCTCCTTCCCCATCGAGGTATCCCATTGTATAGCAGAACGTCTCACACCATTAGCCTCTCTTAACCAAATCATACTGTCTGACTTCTCGTGTAAACCCTATTTGTGCTGAATGGCAGAGGGTGTCAGCGATCGAGGCCCTGGTGCAACAACACGGTTGCTCCAGGATGGTCGAGCTCGATAAAATTGGTTGGCAGTCCACATAGGAGAAGGTCAACTCTGATCACGAACCCTACATAGATAAAGGTAAAGGGGAAGAACCTGTGTTCACTGGAACACAGGTTCGTCCTCTTTACCTTTTACTTTTTAGGGTTTTTATCAAACCCTAGCAGGAAGAACTCGTAGGCCAGGCTAGGCTTTGTGCCAAGAAGAAACTGATCACAAGCCCAGGTTGGTCGAGCTCGTTATAGTCTTGGTTGACAGTCTACCTCAATTTTCATCCGCTGCTATGCGGATAGCCCTAGGAATATTAAAGGCTAAGGGGGTAAATCCCTAAGGTGGTTGGTGGTGATACAAACTATTACCTCGTTGGCAGTAAAGTGAAGCTCGTACCAAAAAAGCCGCACCACACTAAAACCAGGGTCACCGTGAATCACCACCTGCTGTATCAACAACCTGGAGAGGACTAAACAGTTTGTTGACAGTCTTGCAGCGGCTCTTGCAGAACCTACAGGCGGTGATGACACTGTGGAATCCAAGTGGTCCCACCTGCGTGATGATTCACAACCTCGCTTACTGGTACGAGCCCAAAGCGCTCGTTGCCAAGAGAAACGCTCTCCTTGTCCACAAGAAGGATCCAAGTCCCAGTGCACAAGATGCTCTTTGGGCCGCAAGAGATCAGTGATGCAAGAAGGCTGTATTCAGGCACAAGACGGCAATATGACCAAATATCTCGAAAATGGCACTGCTGAAGTCCAAGTTATCACCGATAACAACTGGAACATGGGTGGAAAACCACTTAATTGTGCTGTACGCAACACAACATGTCGTGAAAGATGCCGCCCTTGAAGCCAACCCAGACGCCATTCTTGGAGGGGGTAGACACATTGCCACTCCTGGAACTGACGGTCTCCCACCTGAAGTCCTAAAGAGCAAGGAACTATAGCGTTGCTGCAACGCCTTCATAAACTCCTCAGCCTCTACTGGAAAATGGGTCACGTTCCGGCATACGTTCCGAAATACGTGATGCAAACATTGTCACTTTGTAGAAAAACAAGGGCAACAGGTGCGATTGTAATACCAATCGCAGAATCTCTCTGCTCAACTTAGTCAGTAAGGTCTTCTCACGATTTGGCCTGACCCGTCTACAGAGTGTCGCGTCACGTGTCCACCCCGAGTCACGGTGTGGCTTCAGAGCAGGCAGATCCACTGTGGATATGATCTCACTTTTCCAGCTGCAGGAGAAGTGTCAGGAGCAGAACAAATGCCACTCTATACTGACTTTATGGAACTTACAAAGATCTTCGACCTGGTCAGCAGAATTGGGATGCAGAAGATCGGCTCCCCCCCCCCCCCCACGCTGCTGGGGCTTGATAACATCTTTCCGCGACGGCATGCACAGGACAGTGTACTTTAACAGTGCAACATCAGATGCCTTCCGAGTGAGATGTGGAGTAAACCAGGGTTGCATGTTGGCCCCCACTCTCTTTGGTATGTTCTACTGCATGCTCCCACAGTACGATATTGGAGACTGCACCTAGGGTGTCTATACCTGTTTACCTAAGCTGTTTTTAAACTGTTTGCCTTCGTTCCAACCATTTGCGATGTCCTCATCCGCGAACTGTTGTTTGCTGATGATGCAGCGTTGGCCCTGACAATGAAGCCCAGCTCAAATGAAATGAAAAACAGTACAAACATTATGTCCAATAACCGATTTTCTTCGAAATCCAAGATGGCCGCCAAAATGGCCGTCAAATCATGCAAATAATGCTTTTAATCGATTCCTCTCGCCCAAATTACCCAAGAAAACGTGTTTCATTTGTCTCACTATGATGCCTGCTTCAAAAGTTACGTCAATTAATCGATTTTCGTCGAAATCAAAGATGGCCGCCCAATCCCCATGGCAGGCGCGGTTCTACGGGGGGGGGGGGGGGCTAGGGGGGGGCCTTAGCCCCCCCCCCAAAAAAAAAAAAAAAAAAAAATAATAATAATTTTCTAGCCCCCCCAAAATAAATTCCGTGAAAAAAAAAAATGCATTAGCAAAATGAAGGATTGTAATGTACATGCAAACGGTCTTCCTAAAAAAAACAGTCGTGACAAGGGTGCATTAGTTAATATAGTGTCAATGATTTTAGGATTTTATTGGCGCTCCCCATTGAAAATATGGCATGAGACCTCTTGATTTTCGGAGGCCTAAGTGTCTGGAAAAAATAACCGGTCTACATTTCAGCACGCCTCCCTGAAAAAAAATTCTGTATCCACCCTGCTAGCCCCCCAAAAATATTGGTTCTAGAACCGCGCCTGCCCCATGGGACAGTTCTTGGGAAATCAAAATTCGTTCTCTAGACACCTTGAGGATTACACAAAAATAGGTTAGAAAAATATATCCAGGGGGTGCATGGGAACTCTGTCTTCCTACTAGACTATTGATTCTACTAGTTTTATAAGAACATTTCCACGCCATTTTCAAGGGGTTTCGTGTATTAAATCAATTTGTCCACTGACCTGGTAAATAAAGAAGGACGAAAGAGAAAACAGCGCATTTTATTCCTATCCAGCCGAATGCACTGCCCAGTTGATCGGCTGTGACTACTTCGCACACCAAAACATCAGTCAGAAGCCAAACCAAGAAGGATGAACAGGCGTAGATGGCAACATTAATCGCATTCAACCAGAAAGATGTAAGCCATGGGTCGATAAGGTAATACACGGTGAGTGACGTCAGAGCAATTCCCAAGAACCCCCTGGAGCTGACTATCTTAACTTTGTCCATCAGGGGTCCGAGAGTGAAAGCAGCGACAACCTTCGTCATTCCCATGATCGCAGTCAGGATGACTGATTCCTTCGGTGTGAAACCCTTGGTCTGAGTGTGAGGAACGAAGTACACCGCCCAGCCTAAAGTGCTGACATTATTCACAATGCCCATGACTGCTAAGCACCAGTATGACCGATTGAAGAAGAGTTCAGTGTTGAGATGTTGGCAGAGGGCTCGGAAAGCTGACATTTTCTGATGCTCGTTTGGTTCTCTCGAGGCGTTGTCGTTGCTTTGGTGTTCTTCCTGGACACAATCATCTGGTATGACCGAGTAGTTTGAAGCCACTATCACGCCACAGCTTGGCGGGAACCGGAAGAGGGCGCCACAAACCGTCATGTGAAAGAAAATGGCGCCCAAAAGAAGCATAGTGGCTCTCCAGCCATATGTATCCAAGAATAATTGCGTCATTGGTGGCACAACCATATATGAGATAGATGCACCAGATTGAGAGATGGCGAAAGCTGTTGAGATTCTCCGTGAGCTAAAACATTTTCCAACTAGCTCTTTGCACAAAACATTAGAAATCCCAAGTCCGGGTCCTATAACGAACATATAAGGAACATATAAAGGATAGGACAAAGAAAATCACTTAAATAATCTGAGCACGACAATTGGTGAGATAAAATACTGAGTTCGTTTGTGCTTTTATTTCGTTTGCGACAGTAACTAAAGAAACCATTTCGAATATCGTTTTAATTTGAATGAAAACCTATTAATTTCTATTTTGACGTTAGAGATTGAGTGACCACAGAGCTAACTGACACTGCAACACACAGATATGGAAACGTCAACTCATCCAAATCGGGCGATTTAATTAAAAGTTGGGAGGTTGGGTCATTGTCAGGTTTTACACTTACCAGCTAAGACTGCCAACACAACTGCCATTACCGCAGCTGACGAAAACGAGGCAATGATGAAAGCGAGGCCGATCATCAAACCACTGACCATCACACAAATCCGGACACCGAAGCGCCTTCCAAGAGGGGCTGCAAATGGGCCTAAAACGTAAGCTGGAATTAGCATTATTATTAACAAAGCCTTTTTTGGATTAGTTTCCGTTCATATTTTTTTAATGAAACGTAGTGGCCTTTCGAGTTCTGAATTTCTCTTTTGTTGTTCCTTTTTGCAGTTTGCAGTTTTGTGCTTTATGGTGATGGTTCAGGTAATCAGGTGACTACAACGACGACTACGATAGTATGAAGTGAACCTACCCCACGAGTACGGGAAGTGGTCATGGCCGCGGCCGCTAATCCTCATTGGAATGCAGTTGCCAGCTGTGGTATGCCGTGAAACACGGCTAATGGGTAGTTCCACAGCTGCTGCTTTTGTGCAGTCCCGCTACCGCACAAAGGCCGTGCAGTCATGCAGGCCACTTGCTCTATGTGTGGAGGAATGTCCCCATTACACCCCGTCCTTAAGGCCCCCCCCCCCCCCCCAAAAAAAGTCTCCGGTTTCTGGTATGGAACTTGCCCAAAAAGTGCTGCGGCGACGCGGCATATTTTTTTTTTACCTGTTTTTTTTTTGCTTCAAATGCCGGCTGATGACTGCAAATGGTGCCCGACTAAACTTTGTGCAATTATATTGGAGTCCAGAGAGGCCACATAAAGCTTATTCTCGATCATAACCCCATCTAAAAATACGTTAAAATTGTGCAGCAGCAGGATTCCAGTCAAACCAGTGAGTTTGACGTTTTTGAGACATCATCTTTTATTGAAAAAAAAAACTTTTTCATTTTGCCGACGCGCATGGCTACGGCGACGTGCGCGCATACCAGAAACCGAAGACTTTTTTTTTGGCCTAAGGGGTTAAATACATGTATTAAATCGTCTGCTGTAATGTGGCCCTTGGGTTCTGTAAGCCCGATGAGGTCAAATTGCACTCGAAGCGTAGCTTAGGGTGTCACAACCCATGGACTTTGTCACAGCAGATACCAATCATTCTGTTATAGCATCGTTTTAGGTAACTACAAGTCCTCGAAAGTAATACTATAATGATAATTCGTATGAAATACCAGACTTTTTTGACACCTATGCTATATGCATATTTATATATAATTGTAAAGTTCGTTGTTTTCATCAATGATATGCGCGTACGTCACACTCGACAAGTCTTGGGATACATTGCCCAGCTGTGTTATACTCTGCAGTGGAGATTACACTATTCATAAACGATCAAAGGTAATAACCTAGCTGGAGTACACGAGGTGATGCACTTCACGGGTCTATCATGTAGTCATTATACACGCAACTTGAACAGTCCATAACCAATGGAATTTAACAATCTAATACTATGGTAAAACGAAACATCTTATATCATGGAATGGATTACGAGTGACCATAATATTCAGGTCAGTCATTTGTTCTCCTTACCAATGAGATCAGCAGTGACTTCCATGATCACAATAATCCAACCGATAACCCATGTATATGTTTCCATCTGGTCCCGTAGAGTCGGTAGCAGCGTGGCGAGACTTTTAACCGTACCCACCCAAATGAACCAGTTGACCCATGTGCCTAGTATGGCCAGCAATCCCACAAAACGGTTCCTCCTATCTGCCCCCAACTGTCTGTATTGCTGCTGTTCCATCGTTCCTATCACCGGTAAATAAATTTGCAATGACAAGTACACTGCAGCTATTTCCGCGGAGGCCATCTACACGCCAGAGGCCATATACCACGTCCAGGACAACGCACGTCCGTCTGTAGTAGCCTGAATTCCTATTATTATTATTGGCAGCTGCACCTACGCAACGCGAGTAGCCAAGCGTGTCCTTTTTCTTATAAAGCAGCATTGGTTCCATGCACGAGCCCCCAGTTCCGTGTTAGCTCAACCGGCAGCAAGACAGGCCTACATCGTCACGCTCCACAATTCAAGTCTTCTAATTTCATTTATATTAGTCCGTGAGTTTCTGCTTCGTTGCCGTAGTGAACCGGTTTGGCAGTAGCATACAGCTAATAGGTGAGCTACGGTGACGTCGCATTTAATTATTTCCTTTACCGATAACCCAGGTGGTTCCTTTTATTTATTCTTCAGCACTTATAAATAAATACAGACCTTATTTAATTTTCAACGGCAAAAATACTGCCCAGATTATCTTATTATTTATAGACAAAAGCCTGTCAAATTTTATTTCCCTTTTTGGCAAAGTTAGCCACATAAACGTAATATTTTTGGCAAAGTTAGCCACAGAAATTAATCAATTTATTATTCTAATTTGGCACCCACAAAACGTCCCATGCACAAATCTACAGTTCCGAGTCTACAATTGTGTATGCAAAAAAACGTTCCTTTTGTAATGATATTGGACTATTTTACTATGCGCATCAATGCCCACAAATGATATGTAAACAAGTACATTGTTTTAACACTCCCGTCATGGAAGACTGACACGAAGATACAAATGAATAAATTGGCTGAACTATTCCGATTGTCTTCATAACTTGTGTGCTTATTTACACACCCAAAATATTACATGGTGGCAGCGGTTCGAACGTAGCCCCTGCTGGACCGCTTTGGCAAAGATGAACAGCCCCGCCGGAGCACTCCTCGTAACTTTCACTACGTGAACTTCAGCCGACACTCGCCAGCCGAGCGCCAAGCCTAGCCACGCACGTAAACGGCACATACAGCCATACACGCTGTGCAGTGCACTGTACATGTTGCGAGCCATAGTTGTACACGAGTCCACCCGTCGCGCGCCACAGAGTTTGGGGTTGGAATTGCGGCGCATTGCCATGCTGGTTGAAAAGCTGGTAAGCTGACAAGATGCATCGTATGACGTGCTCTGAGTCTGATCCCCGCTTGTGAACGTTGAGTTCCTGCAGAAGAGGAAGGTTTTCAGACCGCCTCTCCAGTGATGTGACATAGGCCAAGATGCAACATTGATAGACCGGCCCACACCCATGGGCGTCGCGAGGGGGGGGGGCAAGGGGGGGCACTTGCCCCCCCCCCCCCCCCGGAAAAGCAAAAAAAAAAAAAAAAAAGGAAGGAAAAAGAAAGTAAAAAAAAAAAAAAAAAAAGAGGCGGGAAGACAAAGTGGTGTAAATGTAATGAGTTGGGGGGGGGGGGCAAAATATCCCTGCCCCCCTCTAAAACTGATAAATCGAGAATGTGTTGAGAAATACAAGCATTTTTTGGCAAAAGTTTTTTTTGCCCCCCTCTAAAAAAAATCCTGGCGACGCCCATGCCCACACCGCTGTTCTACACAGTCATGTATGAAAATTGACTGGAATCCAGACGGACAGCCAACCGCCACAACTCCTATCCGATCAACTTTTGGCACCAATTTTGGAGCTGAACTCGCGAATCCGAGCCGGCAAAGCTGCGTACGAGCCGATTGGAGAGACAGAGAATTTTGTCCGTTTCAACCGAAAACACGAAGTTGAGAGACCACGGCACCACGCAAGTGCAAACAAGAAAGATGTACAACGGACAACCGCAATAACGGAACTGGTAAACGTCAAACACGTACATCAAAACGCCGGAAATCATGTAAACATTAAACAGTATATGATGACCGGGAGACCACCACCGCTACACTAGACATGTACAGCGAATAATTCAACAGCTCTTGACGGTACAGACAACAGTTGAACAGTTGGACAGTTCTGCAGTAATATTATATCCTTGCCGAATATCATTGTTCAAGTTGTTCTGTTAAATGTAAAATGTACATTTAGGCCTAATTACCTGCTGATATATATACAGTCGACTCCCGTTATAACGAGCTCGGTCATAACGATAACCCGGATGTAACGAGCACATTCTCCCAGTCCCGATCAATTTGTGTACATTACTATGGGGAAATATTTGGTTATTACGTGCACGGACATAACGTGACTTCGGCTATTACGACGATTTTGGCTGGCCCAATGCGAGGAAAAGCATTGTTCTCAACCCATTTACAACAACATCTTTTCAAAACTACGTGCATTGCAGCTTGTCAACGACAGACCTTTTGTCCCGAAACGGGTATCATGCTCCCGTCTTCCAATTCAAGCAACACACTTAAGCTTCACCCATCAATGTACCTTTGTAAAGACTTCAACCCAACGTTATTTCATCTCGCCGATCTTTATAAATAAATTCAATGGGACTGTGATAATCGGCGCAGTGGACCGCTGGTCTAGTCGCTAATCCCCCGCTGCGGTTTCCCTTAGCGTGACCAGGTTTGAAGTTTGCTTACGACTGCGGTACCACGTTTCTATATTATTACAAACTAACAATAGGGGGCGCTCAGGAGTTAAGTGTTAACATTGTAAGGAATAGCCTTTAGTACTACCGCCCGAACATCGGGTGCGTAATTGCTGGTTTGTGGCTATAAAAAAAAACACGAAGTAAAGAACACAGCATCACAAAACAAACGGCTCTTTTCAGAGCCACCACAACTTCCAAAAAGAGATAATTCAGTCTTTCTTCAAAAAATAAAGTTTAAAACATACCGTGGTTCCCACCCCCAAAAAAGAATCCGAAGAATAAAAAAATTAAAATCTTAAACAAATTAAGAACCCCTCCGGCCCCGCCGAAAGAAACAATCCCAATGAAAACAGGTTTCCAAGATCTTCAAACGCCCCACCACATATACATTGTACAAATTTTAATCCAAAATTATTACTTTTGTTTATTTATTATTATTATCTTAAAAGAATCCCTCCCGACAAACAATAATCACCAATTGCTGCGAAATTACACATGGAGACACTTAAACCCGGAAGTAATATTAGCGCCCTCTCTTGCCCGATTCCAGCAAATGCAAAACGAAAGCAAAATGTCACTTGGCACGAATGTGCGCTATAGTTAACCGAAATAATTACAATTTCAAAGAATCCCTTCGGAAATAGTATTACCCAACTGTTCCAAAAAGTCAACAACCAAAAGGCATCTAAGGATCAGGAGTCATAAAGACCCGGAAGCAATGCATGTATTGGCGCCCTCTCTTGCCCGATTCCAGCAAATGAAAAATGAAAGCAAAATGTCACTCGGCACGATTTGTGCGAGTGACCTACTTGCCTGATTCTTCTCAGCGATGATGCCTTTTCCTCAGGATTCAGGTCCTCAAATATTGAAATATAATAATTTGCTGCATGCATGATGGGTCGGCTGCCCAGATTTCGGTACCCGACATTTTTTTTAAATACAAACCTTCCGGCTGAGGCGTGCACACACACAATTTTCTGTGTTGCTTGTGATTTTTAATTTGTTTGCTTATAGTCTACAGGTAGGTGTAGATTCTTAAAATAATCTACAGTTAAGTGTAGATACGTGAAAAGAATCTACTCTTTTAACAATAGTGTGACGTCACAGAATTAGGTTACTACACACATATGAAGCACACCCAGTTGATATCTGCACACGTACGAGAGCTATCTTCTGAGTCACTTGACGGTGACCATTTGCTTTGTACATAGTTCAGAAAATATCTTCTTGAGCCGTCAATTTCTGCTGCGTTTTCTGCCTCACGAGGCTGTGGGGCAAATATCTGTACTGTTTGATGTTCTCGCCTCGCGAGGCAAAAAACTCACCGTGTGCGGTAAACCTGAGCTACGTACAGACCCTAAAAACATCGCCAATGAAAGCTAATACTCTGTTCACATAATTTCAAGATGCTGTTTTGCAATTTCTTCTGAAGCCTCCTGGCATTTATCCCTATTTTTGAAATCATGCGACCAACAAACAAGAATAATCTGGCAACAAATTAACCAGCTTGACCTGTTATATAATAGCTGTTGACAACGTCGCTGATACTTCCATGGGGGCCGCAATCTTGAAATCACGGGGGGTGGGGCTTAACCATTTTTACTCGATCAAACGTCGAACTATTTTGCATTTAACAGACAATTTGAAGGTCGGGAATTTAGGCTGTGTTAACAATATTGACGGCTTTTCACTGCATCGTAGCGTGTCCGTTTTCAAGGCAGGTTGATATTTTACTAGTACGAGGGTCTCACTATGTTCTATTACCTCTGCGTGTTTATAGTCGGTCATTTTATTGATGTAGTAAGGTTCAACTCAAGTTGGGGATTGTATCTTTGATTGAACCTTTGAAAAACGGTAAATAATATAAAACACCAAATTTAGGCGATCACAGGACATAAGTTTCATATACTTGTTTTGAAACCCGATGAACTGCGTTTAAAGACAGTCTGGCTGACAGGAGAAAAAACACTAATGAGACACAAAACAAAAAGAGACTCAAAGATGTACTGCCGGTACCGTTTTCGAATTTCCCCGAAAATCGAATTTATTTGCGTTGCTAAAACAAAATATGTTTTCCCGTCCAATTTCGCAACTTGTTTATTCAATCACACTGAAGGTTTATTCCATTTCAAGAGATTTCAGAGTCTTTGCCCAAGACTACAGTGATCGATATATAGACTTAAATCAAGTCGGTAATTAGCCCGGCTTAGTTCGCCCGCCGCGCACCGCCTAGTGGATATATACAGCATACCGTCTCATACGTTAAGCGTGTGGTATGGAACTAAACATGCGGGGACGCGTTGTGCATCCTTAGCTCAAATATACGTGTAGGTCAATACCAAGTACCATAGAGCAAGGACAATCAGGGACAATTTGCTTAAAATCCATGGGTGACATATTCACAATACATGTATCCACTTCACTCATCAACAGGTACATGTACATGTATCTATTTTCCACCAATTTCTCAAAGATATTCAGTCTCATCAAATGTTTAAATACATGTAGAAATATTATGTTAGCATACATATACTTACATGCAAGTTCCTGGTTTTGTTGTGACATCCGGAGTTTTCCCAGTTATTTCTGGTGGTCTTTATCAAGTGGGGTGGATCGCAGAAGAAGTACAATTGGTTATTCGTTGCAGGATGTGGTGTGGAGTGCAAAAACTCCTCACGAGGGCCATGCATCCGATAGAATTTTCGATTGGGTGAAGCCCCATCAGAAACCAGACCTCTGACAGAAAATCCTGCAGCCTCCAGAAGCATTATTGCCTCCCACATACACGGATACAATTGGTGGCTCGAAACACCAAGACTGGGGTAGTATCCAATTGGTGTGCGTAATGAAGTAAATATACCACGGACCATCAAAACTAACACGTGACTTGCAATGGAAATATCCTCATCTTGGCATCTTTTCTCAAACTGTAGAATCTCATTGCCGATGGATCCAACATCTACAAAACCAACAACAGCCCCGGACCGCACTGAATACACCAAACTGGCTTTAATTTTCATCTCATCAAATAAGACGCAGACCTCTCGCTGGTGCTGTGGCAGAGTGTGCAGCTTCATGTCACTTATCACACGCAAAACAAGATCTGCATTGAAGCCGGGTGCTGGATCACCGAAATGAGTATACGGATGTAGAGTGTTGGGATGAGGTAGTTTCAAAAAACCACTTTCACGAAGTAAATTGTAGGAGGAAGAAGATTTGCTTTGCAAAGCAATACAAAATCGAATGATGGCCGGGTGCCACCTCATCCCCTTGCCCTTCTGAAAGGATGCCTTCTGCTGTTCCCATAGCAAACCTGCCGGAGATCCCTCAATAGAGGCCATCATAAACTCTTTTTCCCCATCTTGCATCGCCTGGTGGAGGAAACTTCCTTCTTGGGTGTTGACCTCAACACTCTCCACCTGAATCATCGCAGTTATCTTTGTGTGTAGAACAGCATTTCGTTTCTTCAAGGCCTTGTTCTCCATCTTCATCAGCTTCATCTTCTTCTGTAGCTCGGCATTGGACATGGTGTTATTTCGGATGCTGGAAGAGGTAGTAACTTCCCTGGACCCACCAAGACGGGATGCCATGACATTCAGATCTACTCTGAACATGACACACACTTCACACAGCAAACCTGGCTTCGAAACAAGTAGGTGGCATTTGTTGTGTCTAATCGTCGGATATGGATACACTTGAACGATATCCCTACCAGTCACAGACGTAGGAATTTGACCTGCTGGACCCTCTCGTGACTTGACCAGCTTGTTGAAATCTCGGTTCGCAGAGCAGATGTTGTGTGCCTCAAGTGTTTCCAACACTCTTGAAACATCAGGCACACCTGCAGTCACTGGTATATCCTGAAGAACTGGACACCCAGATCCTGCTACATCCACACCGCAAACCTCAATTAGCCAAGTTAAAGTGCTGTTGATGGAGATCTCCACCTCTGGGCGGCCACTGTCACCGTAGTGAATAATCTTCATCAGATTGGTGCCACGCCATATGAAGAAAGACGGATGAGAAACCAACACGGCATTCAATTCATCACATAATGAAGACAGACCAAGTGGCTGGACACATCTCTCGCAACGATGCAGAACAAATTCGCAAACTTCAATATTAAGTTGCAGCTTCTTCTTAAGTTTTGCCGCACTCCACCACTTCATTAATTTCTTCACGCAGTTGTGGCAGACAAAGGGTGGATGAGTCCCCATCTCGTCTGTGTGAACATCCACATCAAGGGCCCTCAACATCACCTGGTGATATTTTTCCTTGGAATGAGGATGCCTCCTATCAATACCGGCAGCACCGCCTCCCCCACACAATCTACAAACATCTCGCAGGCACTCAGCCATGACTGGAAGAACAACAGACTCTTCATGTATAAAGTAACACCAGGAAATAAAGCACTATGACATCTTGAAAACTAGTTGAAAGTGCACATTGAAGATTTAAGCAGCAAAAGAGCAACGTGCAGATTGCTGAAAGAAAAAAAAGAAAAAAAATATATTAACAGCTTAAAAAAAAAAGGAAAAAGGATTTAAATGATGAGACTACCGCACCAGAACCAAATGTAAGTCATATTTTCCACATGGTATATTTCATCACTTTTATAGATTTTGAAACAAAACTTACTTTGGTAAGTTGGTTAAAATTCATAACATTGTTTTTATTAAAGGCTGTTTAAGGAAAGGGAACGTATTTCCTTCAAAAAATTATTCTAAATTACTGTTATTTTGTACTTTTCCCTTATTTTAGTCACAATTAAAAATTACAATTGTTGCATTGCAATTACAAAATACTTTATTAATGTTGTTAAAACCTTTTGAACTTTTCAAAGAAACCACATAGGGAACTTTTGAACTTCTTAAAAACAATTCATCCGCATGCTAGCCTCTATAGAAAAATTATTTTTGAACTAAAAAAAATAAAACCAAATAAGCCTCTATCAACAGTATAATTGTCACAAAATAGACTAAAGTCATCAAAATCCCTTATTTCTAACGTTAGTAAAGACATAATTTACATTCATGATATTTTTATTCGAAGCGCAACAAAAAAAAAAAATACTAACATTAAACAGCCGTTGGAAAAAATTTCCCTATACAACGTGCACAAAAAAAGGAAAATATCTACGACTGTTTCATGTCTACAGTCAAACCAATATTTTACTATCGACTTATTATAGTCTCACGGGCTCACGAGTTCAATTTTGCCGCGTCAGACAACTCAAAACGACTTATTCTTTTACGTTATAAATCACCCAAAATTATAAATACTGTATATTTTACATAAATGATGGATTTTGTACGAAATTGGGACTACTGAAATACTGAAATGAACTGCCTGAACCAATTTTTTTGACGCCGATTTTTTAGTTTGTGTCCAACTGTGGCCTTTGTTAAGACGGATATCGAAGTAACGAACAGATTCTTACGAACAAGTTCAATTCCTTTTCACGCGTAGCAAACGTTAGGAACAATCATTTTTACATAAAGTTATGAATATCATATTTTAGGTTCATAAGCTTTGCTCTCGAGTGATCAACAAACGTAACTCACCAACCGGTGGACCGATTTTGATGGTTCAAAATCTGGCAAAGACCGACGAACCTCCTCTTCAAAATGGCACCCGAGCCGAACACGCTGGTAGCTAGCAAAGGGCAAACGCGCATGCGTAGTATAATTGTCTGTTCTAGTTGCTGTACTCCAGTGATGGAAAGAGAAGACGGACACCAGCGACGCGCAGCAAAAGGCGGTAACACACGTAGGGATCAATGGGCCGGCTGCGGTCGCCAATGTTTACGTTCGCCGTGGGAGGTGATAAGAAGCTCCATAGACTTTGCGTTGGGCCAAGGAAGTGCTAATTGAAGTAAATAAATCCTTCAGGGGGGTAAGACCTAGTTGTGACTCCTTCTGTTGTCCTTGCTCTATGCAAGTACCGACTCGAATATTCTGTTATATGCTTTCCATGCAACGTATATGACCTGCTACTGGATTTAGACGGAGCATTCTGATTGGTAAAGGATCAGCAAACTGAAGATGGATATTCCACCACACATTTTGCATGTCTTTTGCATAGTCGAGTTGTGCACGTTTATAAACACGAGCATAAACGTTTCTGTGCGTGGTTAATGCAATTTAATCCTCCGAGCAGCCCGACGGTAGTTTTATAATCCACATTTTCCTAATATGGGCATTTTTTTTCAATGGGCCAATTAGGCCAAGCTTCCGTGTAATCCTCACCCCTACTATACACAACAAGCCTGTAGACTCCCATTGGCCAGACCCTAGCCACTCCGGAGTAAAGGAGTGTTGAAAGACAGAAGCCAAGACGGCGCCCAATGCCTTCGTGCAGTATTTGGAGATCTTAGTGGCCAGCCCTAAGTGCCGCCGATCCCTTTGTGTCAACCCCTCGTGCCGCCAGGAGCCCTGTCAGGTTGTAAACAATCCCTGGCCATGTGAATGACCTATATCTTGTGCATGTACAGGCATGCCAGGGTTATTGACCTATAAACTCATGTGGTGATACAATAATTCTCCACGTGATTCCACGGTGTGATTTTTTTTTTAATATAAACTGCTCCGTGGGTTAAACTGCTCTTGTGACGTCACTCTATTCAGTAAAGTGTCCATTATTTATAAGAATGGACATGTACAGTTAAGTGTACATTCTTTAAAAAAAAGTCAACTGAAGATAAGTTGTGAATCTCCAGGCTTTGTTGTGAATGGCCCCTGCAAACAGTTTCATTTTACTTTGGAAAAGTAACGGTTTGTAAAATGTTCAAGTTTTGGGTAGTTTGAAAATATGGTTCCTGAAATTAATAACAACACAGTACGTGTAAAATAAGAGTATTTCTTCGGGCAGGCCATGACAAAAACAGAAAAGTCAAAGAACTTCGAGCGAAAACTGCATAATTTACAGAGTAATTCCATAAAGTTTTCGTCTCAATTTAAGGATTTTTTTTGTCAGCCTACTATGTTAATATTACCAGTCAGCATTTCGGTTATTTCTTGAATTGTGTCCACACAATTGAATGTTCTCTTTGCACTTTTCAATTTGCCGCTCTGATATTGTATTCTGTTTTCGGTGACGATTATGGATTCAAAGTGAAAGAGTATAAAATAGTCTTCCTTTTTATTTTTTTTTTTTTTTTTTTAGTTTCCTGTATTTTTAATTCTTATTTGTTTACTAACATGTATTATTTATATTTTAATGTTAAATCTGAAAGTTACATATTAGTGTTTGGCTCTGTTTTTTTAATTTGTAAAAATTACTGAATTTTGCGTTTTCGTTTTCAAATTGTTTGTGTTTATATCTAGTCTTAACCCATTTACTTACAGTCTTTTCCTTTGTTATTAGACAATTGTAGAAAATGTATACATAACTAAATCATTAAATTGACTGCCAGAAACTTACCAATCGTTACTTCTTAGATGATATGCCTGTGTTATGTAATTTCCAAAAATGATTACCTGTGGTGACTGAGATATTTCGATTTGTACTCTGTGTAACAATATCAAGGTCAGCGGTCTTCATCTCAGTAAACAAATGTTCAACAAATAAGCTGCTCACCAAACTTCCTTTTGGTTGATATTAAAAATCCTCCATTCCGTTCGCTCGCATCGATAGCATGTTTATATATATTTTTTAATTTAATATGTGCGTAACTGCAACACTAACATACATGTTCATGTATAATTCCATAAGAGAGGTAACACAGATTGTGTGCATGTGCTATTCAAAAGAATTCGCATCCGAGTCCATTCGAATAAAAGAATCTCCCCTTTGTCGTCGTTTCTCCTTAACGGAATGCTTTTTTAGTCTAGTGATTGCAAAGGGCGATTTCTAAAGGTTACGTAACACTTTATTTTGAATGAAACTACATGTGCGCAGACATGTTCACGTAGGCGGGTGAAATCTTTCAAAAATTAATTTATCCAGTTTGGAAGACCGTATCTACATGCAACTTTCAGAACTTATTTCCTTTATAATAATCCGAGTATGTGCTAAAAATCGTTGTGAAATGTTCATTACTTTTCGTTGAAATCGGAAAAATAGGCCTTGATATGTGCATTTTTGAAAGCTGTGACACTGACGTTTGCAATATATGTGGATCTGTTCAAGCCTCACGCATATTAATAAGGTACCTATCCATGGAGGTGTGCAGTAAAACAAAAATAGAAAAGCCTCCTTCACGAGTCTTTTGCCGGCTTCCATTGGTCGATACCGAGACCCACGAATATGCTAATCTACATTACGTTACTGTGTGGCTTGTCCGAAATCGGTAAACCGTAGCGCCTAAGGCGCTTTGCTGAACAATGCATGTGGGCTGGGTCGGCAGAAATCTTCGAAATTTTCCATGGAGATGGTTCAGAGTGTAACAACAGCGTTTGCAACAACAGATTAAGCTGAAATTCGAAATAAACTTTGAAGATATAAGTGTTCAACAACTCGTGTAATAACAATTTTGAGAAATTCTTCGAAATAGATTTTGGGAATTTTTCTTACGATTTCTTCCAGACCTGTAGGTCAGCTATACCAGTAACCAGTATTGGCATTTCAGCATCGATGATGGCGATTTTTTTCACTGACATGAAGTTTAGAATTTCTTCTTCCTTTGTAATTGAACATTTCAATCATACTGTGCATTTTTGTCTGAGAAACGCAACGTTCAATAGGCCATACATTTTTTGTGTGTGGTGCATGAATTTCACTGCTCTGTTATAGCGTCTAAGTACGTAATCGGATTAGCTTTGGCTTATAACGGCAGACGCTTTGCCTTAGCAACCACATGACTGCTTTAGTTGTACAAGTAAGCTACCATTGGCCCTAATGCACATGCACTTTGATGTGCCGGGTCCATAAATGAATATCCGTCCCAAATTATATAAGTCAAGTTGTTACACATGTATAAGCCAGCAAATAATATACATTTTATACAGCACCGCACTAGAAATTATTTGGGTCGCCGACAAACAAAACGCGACTGTCAAGTAAATTGTTCTCTCAAGTCTATGATCGATAATGATTCTTGTACAGCACCGATAGTGATTGTCGTAGAGCGCTCTTGCACAACTGTTTTTTTTTTGGTTTTTATACAATGACGTGGGAGAAGACGAGCTGGTCTAATCATGCCCTAAGATGGCGCACTATATACTTGAACTTGAAACGAATGATTTTACGCGACAATGACGATTTACTATCGGTTACTAACGTCTTGAACCAAGACTACAGTTTTTTTAGAGTCGGATACGAATTAGGTTTCTAAATCGTAGTTAGAACATTTGATTTTATCACTGACAGCACTATATGCTACAGCAGTGGCGTAATCTAGGCTTGAACTTCTGGGGGCGGGGGCCTCCTGGGGTGGACAGTTTTCTCGGGGGGGGGAGCTGCATTGATGTCAAATGAAACTTTTTTTTAAACATATTTTCAAAACATATGTTAAATTCAAGATTTTAAATGGGATGGGAAAACAGGGGGTACGGATATCCTGGGGGCATGAATATCCAGGGGGGGGGGGGGGTAGGGATACGTGTTCCCCACCGTGCAATGGGCATTTAGGGAACACTCCCCCCCCCCCCCCCCCAGATCACCACCAACACCACCCCCAATGACTCCTGCACGGTGATATCGTTTTTACCGGGGCGCGGTTTGTACCGTTCGCCGTTAATTATTCATTCTTTCATTTAATTTCCGACCCACGTTAGGCATTACTAACTTTTGTATTATTCTACTATTAATCTAGGTTGAAGGCGTCAATAATATTACACATACAGACAGACCGTCCATGTTGATACATGTACATATACACTCATGTACACGCACGCTCGGAAACTACAATCATAAAAAAAACACCCAAGCATTCGCAAATAACTCGTTGACCCTGCAATATTATTCAAATGCTGAAATAAGTGGCATGTTTGGGGAAACTGAAGCACATCTAAAAAATCCCAACTGAAGTTGTCCCTTTTTTACTGATGATTGCATGGAAAAGGAAGCAGACAACGATCTAAAACGGCCTTTTCCTAAAAGCGTCGAAATTCAATTTTAATCACAAAAGAAGAGGTGAATAAACATACAAAATAAAGGTATTTGATTGCATCCGGTGGCCTATGTATTTCGGTTAATCTATCAAAATGTACATTATGTTTTCGGGTGAAAACTTGTAGGTCTTTCGTTACCGTGGCGCTGCCATTTCGACAAACCACTGGCATTAGCGAGATTTTGGTGAATGCGCACAAACTCAGTGGCGGGGTAAACATACGTGCGGTGGTTATCAAATTTGCAGGGCTCTGCGCTCGATTTATAGTGTCAAATTTCTGTCTAGCCAGCAAATTATATGTGTGAATATTCATGATCCTACATTTTTGGCCTTTATTATTGAATTCTAATCATTGATATCTACACAACTATGTTAACGCCGAGCACCATTCTTTAGCTTGAAAATGAATGTCATGCGCACGACGAAATCAGTATACTTTTATTTGAGTAGGATTACTTCCTATATTTATATTTACATACCTGATGAGAAAACCCTGGGAATTCTATACACTGTGTGAAGTACCACGCGAAAGAATTATTATTTAAAACAAAACCCTGAATGTGTATTTGGAGTTTCTTGAATTGTGAATAAAAAAGCCGTCCTGGCTCTGGCAACATAACATGTTGTGCTTTACTTTTAGTCAGTGGATTAATAAACAGGCAGTGTACATGCCCCCATGGTTCAATCCCGACTCTTTCACCTGCAAAAGGATGAAATTCAGTCTTTATTACCATCACCAGGGCGCACTGCAGGAAACGTACAATACTTGGTTCTCGTCCTGATGTTTTTCTCTTTCCGTCTGTAACGGGACCCGGCGTTAAACATATTGGTACAGGCCGCGTGACGCAGTCTATTTTTGTGCTTACACAATT